ATGGCTATACTGATGATGAATGGGGAGGAGCTAAGGATAAACAAGATAAGGTTGAGTCCGACTTGAGCGTTGCGCTTGCAGTACATGTGGCAGTGAGTCGGAGTTGCCACGACAGGATCTTGCGTCCAGTGCAAGCGAATGGTACTACCACAGATGGGGATCATACTACGTACGAGGGAGCGGCGGAATGGAGATGCAGCAGGATGACGAGGAGGACGACTATCGGGTAGTGAAGTTCACGAGCTGCCGAATGACACGTGTGGCATCATACGATACGCACGGTGGTTGTGTGGCATTGTTGGAGGGCAGGGGGTGAGTTGGGGGAGGGGTGGGTGGAATGATGCCGAAAGGGGAGTGGATGGGCCCGCCCTTCGCATGCCCCCCCCACTTCTCCGTGTGGCCCCTTCCTCTTCCCTCCCTCGGGCCTTCACCGTCGTCCCTTCCCCCCCCCGCCCCCCTCCCTCCACGTCCTCCCGCTCCCGCTGCTGCTCCTGCTGCCGATGCTGCTCCTCACCACTCCTCCTGCCGCCTCCCCCTCCTCGCCCCCTCCTCGCCGCCGTCGCCGCCGCCGTCGTCCGCGCCGTCCTCGTCGCCGACGCCCCCTCCCCCGCCCGGGAGGCAGCCCGCCTGAGCCAGGGTGCGAACCCAATCAGGCGCGTGATCGATTTGCTGCAGGCCTCGTCGTCGTCGTCGGCGTCGTCGATCCGTACAGAAGGTAGACATGAGGATGGATGGAAGCCTGGAGGAGTGGGGAGGGAGGAGGAGGAGGAGGAGGTGGAGTTGGAGGAGGATGAAGAGGAGGAGGAGGAGGAGCAGGAGGAGGAGCAGGAGCAGGAGCAGGAGCAGGGGGGCTCCTTTACCATTTTGGCTCAAGTCCGTAGCGGTGGCTCAGAGGAAATTGAGTATTTTGGCAAGGTGACCTCGAGGCCCCATCAGCGTTCCTGGTTGTTGGCCCGCCAGGCCCATTCCATTCATTGCGTTCTGTGTAAGGTACCCTCGTTCCCCTTGCATATCTGATCGATAGTATTTGATTATCGCTTCCTCTTATCAGCTCTGGGTCAAGTCCGATGGGGATGAGAGGGGGGGGGGGTGGACCACGAGGAACGAGGAAGGGCAATGTACCGTTCGGCTGGCAGTGCTCAACATGTGGGTGCAAGGAGAACTCGGTTGACGCCGTTTGGTGCGAGCATTGCTCGGCACCTCTTCCTCGCATGTGTGTTGGTGCTCACCCTGATGCATCTGGCCCATCCACTCCTGCGGTTCCCCCTGGCTCCTTCTGGCTCGACGGCGGCTTCAGCACCAGTGGCAAGCAATGTCATGGTAAAGGTTGGGCTGCATGAGGAAAGGGAGGGAAAGGTCGTGGGGGTAAAGGATATTCTGGATGGTCTCAAGGGAGTTACTGCCTTTCCTGGCGCTGGCATTGCGGCGCGCCCTCCTGTGGCCATGCGCTGTCAGAGTTCCCTCGGGAACTTGCGGGCTCTCGCCCTCCGCCGGCCCCCCGACCTTCCCGTAGAGCTCCCGTCTGGATCTGCTCCGTGCCCGGGTTCGGTTCGTGGGGCGGGGCCTTTGGTTTGGCCCAGGACGTGGTTCTCTTGTCCAGAGCGGGAGAAGGCGACGTCGCTCGGCGCCTGCTCAGGCCTGGGTGTAGGATTTGGGCCGATTCGGCCCCGAGGGAGCTGAGGTTAGCACTTTGGGAGCTGAGGTCTCCGCCCTCGAGATGATCAGCCACGCGCAGAGGGGGGTGGGGGGAGGGGGGAGGGCTTCTTCGAAACACCCCTGCTTCTGAGAAGGCGCGGGCCCCACCTGTAGATGCAAGGCCGGCGCCTTCTAAGAGGCAGCCTCCTTCTGAGAAGCCTTCCCCCCCCCCTCCATCCCCATGTGCGCGCCGCCAAGATGAAGGGGCGGGAACCCCGAGCGTTTCTGGGCGCGGGTCGAGGCCCCGAGTTTTTGCGCGGTGTGCTCCGGCTCCGCAGCCAGCTTCGAGCTCTGCTGGGTGCGCTGCCTCCCCGAGTCGGTCCTCGAGGCCAGCAGCCACCGGGTGTCGGAGCTGGTCGAGCAGCCTCCCACCTCGGTGGCAGGGGCTGACCGCGTCTCGCGTGGGCGGGGTGTGCTGGTGCAGGTTGCGACGCTGGTTAGAGTGGCTCACTTGGGGCGATCTCGGGCCCTCGTGGGGCCGCCTGGGGGCCTCTTGGCCCAGATTGGGGCTCTCTTGGGCCATCGTGGGGCCATCCTCAGGCCTCGCACCAAGTGCGCATCGCAAGCGAAAAGGCGAGAAGGCCAGCGTCATTGATTACCTCTTACCTTTAGGTGTTTGCAGGACTTGGACCTCGGGGGGGTGCTTGGAAGGGCTCCGAGCGCATCTGGAACCGTCTTGTGGCTCTCGTCGGGCCTCTTGCAGGTATGTCGGAAGCGATCGTGCACCCTCGCTGCTCAGCTTGAGCAACCTTGGAGCATCGGAAGCCCTCTTGGAGCCATCTTGGGACATCTTGGACGCTCGAACCCGTCGCGGCCCGCCCCAAAACAAAAACCTCAGGAAGGGGAGGCGGGAGCGTAAGCCTCCCCGAAGGGAAGAGCGTGCGGGGAAAGGAGTATCTCCTTGAACCATCATAGGCCAAAGGGCTGGTGGCATTACGTAGAAGGACAGGAAATGGATGAGGGAAAGCAGGATTCAGGAGGCAGGGGGGAAGGAGGCAGATGCGGCAGGAGGTGGAAGAACGAGGATATGCAGGATTCGTGAATGAAGCGGGGAGGAGAATGAGGAGAGCAGGAGGAAGCAGGAGGAGGGAGAGAGGGGCGGGGTGGGTGGGGAGGATGCAGATGTGGTGTGTGTGTGTGTATGTGTGTGTGCGCGTGTGTGTGTGTGTGTGTGTGTGTGTGCGTGCGTGCGTGTGTGTGTGTGTGTGTGTGTGTGTGTGTGTGTGTGTGTGTGTGGGTCGGACAAGTGGGTGGGCGATGTGGAGAGCACAAGGTCGTAGGAGGAGGACCACTGCCCACGAGGGGCACTCGACACGCAGGGGCGCGAGGTGCAGGCGACGCCTCCGCGCCGACGCGTGCCTCCCCGCGGGCAGCGGCCATGAGCACTCCGCAGCCCTGCGGGCATGGGCATGCGTCGCACGTCACCGTCTGGGCCAGTGGCCTGTCCTGCCCCCTGGGCCTGGCGCGGCGTCGAGAGTGCAGCGCTTCGCGATTTTTTCTGAGCTGTTTTTGCGTGGTAGCCTGTGACGTAGGCAGAGCCAGCCTCTCGCGTGCCACCGGCAACGCATGTCAGGCGAGCGCAGACGTGGATCAAGGGGGCGTCGATTAGCGACGGGTCCCGTTTCCATGGGAAACCGCGAGCGAGGCGGCACCTGCCGCACTTTTGGGGAGGGCGCCTCCCCCGATCCATGGAGTTGGCGACCGCGCGCCAAATCAATGGATCGCTAATCCATGCTTGCGCGCCCCCGAGCACGGGAGGTAGCACGAGCCTGTCCCGGGGCAGAGCTTCGGAACGACGCCCGGGGGTGAGGGTCGGCGGCGCAGCAGGGACAGTTCCACGGCAACCTCAGAGCTGTTCCTGTGGCGCGGCCCCAGGTGAGTCGCGTCGTGTGGGCAGAACCCCCACCCTGACACGTCGATTAGTGAATTGTCCGTTTTCGGTTCTCGAGAGGGCGCCGCGGCCGCTATTTTCCAGGCTTGAGCCCGCCAGGTTTGGGCCCGAGGTCGTTTTCACTAAACCACGTTTTGCTAAAGGGGGTTCTGTCCATCCCCGAGTGAGTGGCTTCGTTTGCGCTCAACGCATTCATGTTCAGTAACCGACCGCGGGCGATAATAAAGTACCTTTTTATCCCCGACCGCAGGAATCTATCTGTGGGGGAGGCGCGGAGGCCGAACTTTATAATCCACGCAAAAGTTGTGGGGATCGAAGCTGCTATCATATCAGGTTGATTAGCAACAGCATCAAACACGCTGAGCATGGCCATGGTGATCTCACCACACCAGCTTCCGCAATCACGAGCGCGTGGCAGGGCTGTGGGATTCTCACCTGATTTCTCGAGTCATCCTTGTGTAGTGCGCCTCTGCGGGCAAGTAGCCAAGGGCCTCGAGATCGCTCGAGTCAGGCTTCTGTCGTGCGCCTGGTTTAACCTCCTCCTCCTCCTCCTCCTCCTCCTCCATCGTCGTCATCATCATCATCATCATCATCATCATCATCATCATCATCATCATCATCATAGTTAACTTACCTTCCCTGGGGAATCCTTTATCATCCCCGCGGGAACCGCGAACTTTATTCTCCCAGGGGGGGTATTATCGCCCGCGGTCGGTTACCACGGGACGAGATGCAACGCGTTGGTGCACCATGCAAAGCAATCGTAACGGCGCATCGTCCCAGCGTTTCGTAGCAGCGCGTCGCAATACGTTGCAGTGTGTCGCGGCCCATGCAAGCACATGCGTGCATCAACGGACATGAAGGTTCGCCAGTTCATAGCAATGTAAGCCAGTTCGTAGCACTACAACGCGGAGCATCTGATGGCACAGTGTCATGTTATGCTACTGGAAAACGCTGCGCGGCATAGCATGGCACAGCCCGGCGTGACACAGTCTGGCATAGGCTAGCATTGCATGCATGCTTCGCAGAGCATTTCACATCATTGTACGGTTGACCATCGCATAGCCCAGCGTGGCCTTACAAATCATAGCACGTCATAGGATGTCATAGCGCGGCGCACTGCCGCACAATCTCGAACGTGCCGTGCACTAGGAGCAGGCACCGACGTCGCGAGGCTCTGGTCTGGCACGTGTTCTCTGACAGTGGCTTTCGTGATGCAAAGACCCCGCATGCAAGCGTAACGTGGGAGTACAACACACAGAGCGACGGTTTCAAAACCAGTTGGGCAGCGGATCCGACGAGTAACACTACTTGAAGGGATGGTTGTGTCGACATAGCCGCGGGCAACATGCAAGCGGAGCCTTCAACGCTGGGGGCACGCATGCGAAAAGAAGGAGGGGGAAGCGCGAGGACGAGGAGGAACGCGACACGATGTGAGGCAAGGGCGCGCTTGAAGCGAACGTGAAGGAGGTGTGGAGCGCACGTTGGGCTTTGCTCAGCGCCCGCCGCAGAACCGCGCAACGCCTTCCAGTGGAAAACGTGCAGGTGGCGCACGTGCGAGGCACGTGCTGACATCAGGGGCGTATCTTTCGGCAGACTGCGTACGTAGGGCCAGGCTCAATTGTCACGAGTCAGTGGGGATCCTGTGGGTCTCTCCGGCTTAGTTGTGCTCGGCGGCCATGCCGGCCAATTCCGAGAAGGAGCACTTGTCCATCGTGATCTGCGGCCATGTCGACAGTGGCAAGAGCACAACAACGGGCCGACTGATCTTCGAGCTGGGCGGACTGCCCGAGCGCGAGCTCGAGAAGCTGAAGGCGGAAGCCGAGCGCCTGGGCAAGGGCTCCTTCGCCTTCGCATTCTACATGGACCGCCAGAAGGAGGAGCGCGAGCGCGGCGTGACCATCGCTTGCACCACCAAGGAGTTCTACACCGAGAAGTGGCACTACACCGTGATCGATGCCCCGGGCCATCGCGATTTCATCAAGAACATGATCACCGGTGCTTCCCAGGCAGACGTTGCGCTCATCATGGTCCCGGCCGACGGTAATTTCACGACTGCCATCGCCAAGGGCAACCACAAGGCTGGCGAGATCCAGGGGCAGACTCGCCAGCATTCCCGTTTGATCAACCTTTTGGGCGTAAAGCAGATCTGCATTGGCGTCAACAAGATGGACTGCGACACCGCTGGATACAAGCAGTCCCGCTATGACGAGATCGCAAACGAGATGAAGAGCATGCTGGTCAAGGTTGGCTGGAAGAAGGACTTCGTCGAGAAGGGGACGCCGGTAATGCCCATCTCTGGCTGGATGGGCGACAACCTGCTGAAGAAGTCCGACAACATGGGCTGGTGGAAGGGCTGCGATGTCGAGTACGGCAAGGAGACCATCCACGTGGACACCGTCTACGATGTGCTTGACGTGATGTGCCGCGTGCCAGAGAGGCCCACCAGCGCGCCCATGCGCATGCCGATCTCCGGCATTTACAAGATCAAGGGTGTCGGCGATGTGCTCGCCGGGCGCGTGGAGCAGGGCGTGGTGAAGCCGGGCGAGGAGGTCGTATTCTTGCCCACGCACACTGCTTCGAATCCGTGCACTGGCAAGGTGTTCACCGTGGAGATGCACCACCAGCGCGTCGACTTCGCCAACCCAGGGGACAACGTTGGCCTCAACATCAAGGGCCTCGACAAGAATAATATGCCCCGATCTGGCGACGTGATGGTCTACAAGAAGGACACCACCCTGGGACAGACGAAGGAGTTCGACGCGCAGATCCAGGTGCTCGATATCCCCAACGAGATCAAGGTAGGGTACTCCCCGATCGGCTTCGTGCGCTGCGGGCGCGCGGCGTGCCGCATCAGCAAGCTTAAGTGGAAGATGGGCAAGGAGACGGGTGGCAAGAAGATGGAGGACCCCCACTCCCTCAAGTCCAACGAGATGGCTCAGTGCAGCTTCCAGCCGCAGCAGCCGCTGGTGTGCGACACCTTTAAGAATTGCGAGGGCTTGTCGCGCGTGGCGTTCATGGACGGCAACGGCGTTGTGATGCTTGGCAAGGTCATCTCTTGCGAGCGCAAGGAGGAGGGTGGCGCTGGTGGCAAGAAAAAGTAGTCCAGGAGCGTGGTCCCGCAGCCGACGCGACGAACGTTTCCTCGTTTCCCCTCCCTTGCTCTGAGAGACTGTGTGCTTCCGTGGCCGCGTCAGGAGTTTTGGTAGGGCGCTCGCTCTGTAACGGGCTGCGCCGTCTGGTAGGTTCACGATCGGCCGAAGAGAAAACAAACATGAGGCTAGACCCAGGTACGATGCACGTCAGCGGGAAGGGCGAGGAGAAGGAGGAGGAGGAGGATGGGAGGGGTGGAGGACGGGTAGCGGGAGTACGAGTAAAGGGGAGGAGGAGGAAGGAAGGAAGGAGGAGGAGAGGAGGAGGAGGAGGAGGAGGGGGAGGAGAAGGAGGAGGAGGAGGATGAGGGGGAGGAGGAGAAGGAGGTGGAGGAGGAGGAGGAGGAGAAGGAGGAGGCGGAGGAGGAGGAGGGGGAGTGGGAGGAGGACGAGGAGGTGGAGGAGAAGGGGTAGAGAATGATGCGGTGGAGATGAGACCAGGACGTGGCCAAGTGAGAGGAGGATGAGGACGAGGACGAGGATGATGAGGAGGAGGAGGATGAGGACGGTGAGGAGGAGGAGGAGGAGGAGGAGGACGGTGAGGAGGAGGAGGAGGAGGAGGAACAAACGAGGGGGGAGCGGGAAGCGAGGAAGTGGCGGAGAGGGAGGAGGCCGTCCAGAGGCGTAAGGGGGAGTGGGAGCAGGACAGTTAGGAGGTTTAGGAGGGTAATGAGGAGGATCGTGAGTGAGTGAGCGATGCTGCTGCTGCTGCTGCTTCTGCAGCTGCTGCTTCTGCAGCTGCTGATTCTTCTGATGATGTTGATGGTGCTTCTGACGATGCTTCTGATGATGCTGCTGATGATGCTTCTGATGTTGATGCTGCTGATACTGATGATGCTGATGTTTCTGATGTTGCTGATGGACCTTCTCATGATGCTTATGATTATATAGGCTGTTGGTTATGATGATGCTGCTGATGATGAGTATTATGATGGATACTGCTCATGATGATGCTGATGATGCTGCTGCTGATTATGATGACGACGACGACGACGATGATGATGATGATGCTGATGATGATGATGCTGATGATGATGATGATGCTGGTGCCGATGATGCTGATGATGCTCATGATGCCGATTAGGATGATGATGTTGATGACGGTGATGTCGATGATGATGCTGCTGATGATTCTGATGCTGCCGATGATGACGACCTCGATGATGATGACGCTGATGATGCTGGTCGTAATGATGATACTGCTGCTGGTGCTGATGATGTTGTTGCTAACAATGCTGATGCTGATGATGATGATGCTGATGATGATGATGATGATGGTGATGGTGATGATGCTGCTGCTGATGATGATGCTGATGATGATGATGATGATGATGATTATGATTATGATGTTGATGACGCTGATGCTGATGATGCTGATGATGATTATGATGAAGCTGTTTCTGCTGCTGATGATGACTCGGATGCTGACGATGATGATGCTGATGCTGCTGCTGCTGCTGCTGCTGCTGATGATGATGATGATGATGATGATGATGATGATGATGATGCTAATCATGATGCTGCTGCTGATGATGTTGATGTTTCTGAAGAGGATGCTGCTGCTGGTGTTGATGATGCTGATGACGATACTGATGACGATGATGCTGATGCTGATGCTGCTGCTGATGATGATTATGCTGATGCTGCTGATGATGATCAGGAGGAGGAGGAGGAGGAGGAGGAGGAGGAGGAGGAGGAGGTGGAGGAGGAGGGGGAGGGTGAAGGGCAGAGGACGATTTGGCGGATGGGGAGGAGGAGGGAGGGTAAAACGGAGTCAGAGGAGGAGCTGGATGAGAATGAAGAGGACGTGTAGGATTAGAGAGTGGGATTACAAATAGCATAAGGAGGAGGGAGGGGAAGAGGCAGAATTTCGCTTCGCCTGGGTTTTGTTTCGTTATGTTCGCTGCGCCCAGGTTTCGCTTCGCCCAGGTTCATTTCGCCTGGGTTCGTTTCGCCCAGTTCGCTTCGCCCTGTTTCGCTTCGCCGGGTTCGCTTCGCCCAGATTCGTTCCGCCCTGGTTCGCTTCGCCTTGGTTTCGCTTCGTCCAGCTTTTGCTTCGCCCACTTCGCTTCGCCCAGGTTTCGCTTCGCGCGGTTCGCTTCGCCCGGGTGTCGCTTCGCCCGGGTTCGGCTCGCCTGGATTCGTTCCCCCCCGTTCGCTTTGCCCGGGTCCGCTTCGCCTGGGTTCGCATTCGCCCGGGATCCGCTTCGCCTGGCTTTGGCTTCGCCCAGGTACTGGTTGTGGTGTTCAAGGCGGAAGTGGGCGGGCGGGCGGGCGGGCGGGCGGGCGGAGGGCGGGTGGAACGGAGCAGGTGTCGAGGAGGGCCTGACCTGGGCGAAACAAACCCTGGGCGAACTCAACCCGGGCAAAGCGAACCAGGCGAAGCGATTCCAGGCGAAGCAATTTGGGCGAAGTAGATTCACCAGCCTCCGTCTCCAACACATGACTCAGTACTCAATCCATATGGAACGGCATCCCGCTGCAAGAGATAATCTTTAGGAGATGTATTTAATCCCGACCCGCCCGCCGCCCGCCGCATGCCGCCCGCCAACCTCGCTTCCGCCTTCGACACCACAACCATTATTCACCAGTACTCCACAGCTGTCGTTTCCTGCGCAACACCCGGGATTGAACAGCACCCCACTGCAAGAGGGCACCTTGAGGACTTTTACTAAATTCGCGACCCGCCCGCCTTCCGCCCGCCTCCCGCCCGCCGCCCGCCCTCCCGCCCACCCGCCCGACGCCCGCCGCCTTCAACACCACGCCCAGTACTCACCAGCCTCTGTCTCCAACAACACCCAGTACTCAACAGCCTCCGCCTACCACGCCACACGCAGTAGTGATTGGCATCCCCTTGCAAAAGAGAATCTTCCCGGATTCTAGTATCATCCCGACCTGCCCGCCGTCCGCCCGCCCGCCGCCCGCCCGCCCCACATCCGCCTCCAGCGCCACACCAAGTTTTCGTCTCGAAGACAACACAACACACAACACCTAGTACTCCACAGCCACCGCCTCCCACACCACAGCCAGTGTAGAACGGCATACTGCTGGAAGGGACAACCTCCAGGAGTTTCGTTGACATTCCGACGGGCCCGCCCGCCCGCACGCCCACCGCCCGCCCCCCCGCCCGCCGCCCGCACGCCCTGCTTCCGCTTTCGTCATCACACCCAGTACAGCCTCCGATTCCAACACAGCACCCAGTGATCCACAGCATTCGTCTCGTCCACAACACCCAGCATTGAAAGGCATCCCCCCGCAAGAGTTTTCCTTGAGGAGTCGCATTGAAATTCCGACCCGCCCGCCCGCCGCTCGTCCGCCTTATTTCCGATTTCGCAACACCACACCCTACAGTCACTGGCCTCCGTCTCCAGCGCAACACCCAGAACTCCACAGTCTTCGTCCTCCACGCAGCACCCGGTATCGAACGGCACCCCGTTGCAAGAGACAGCTTCAGGAGATTTCATCAAAGCCCCGACCCGATCGCCGCCCGTCCGCCCGCCCCCCGCGCCCCACTTCCGCTCTCGATGCCACGCCCAGTACTCACCAGCTTCCATTTCCAGCGCAACAACCTGTATTCCACAGCCGTCCCCCACACAATACACTCTGTTCGCCGATCGCCTTTGCGCGGCGCCAGGCTTGAACGGGCAGTTTTTGCGGCGGCGACCGCGTTGCCAGGGTGTCCCGTTGCAGGGGTCGTTCGGCCGTCCGCGCCAGGGCGCCCAACTCCGCAAAAACAAATCCACTGGCCCAATGTTGAACGGCATCCCGCTGCAAGGGATAACCTCTAAGTGCTGCATTAACACACTTGCCTGCCCGCCGTCCGCCCGCCCGTCGCCAGCCCGTCCGCCTCCCGCCCGCCCCACTTTCGCCTGAAGCGCCCCCTTCAGTGCTCACCAGCCTCCGTCTCCAACACACCACCCAGTATTCCACAGCCTCCGTCTCCCACACGACACCCCAGTACTGAACGGCACGCTGCTGCAAGACAGACCCTCTGAGTGTTCCACTCGCATCCCGACCTGCCCGCCGCCCGCCCGCCCTCCGCTCGCCCGCCCGACCGCCGCCCGCCCGCCCTTCATCCGTCTCCAACACCACACTCCCGTAGTCATCAGCCTCCGTTTCCATCACAACACCCAGTATTCAACAGCCGTCATCTCCAACACAACACCCACTCTTGAGCGGCATCCTGGTGCAAGGGAGAACCCGTGCGCGCTGCGTTCAGATCCAGTCTGACCACAGCCCGCCCGCCCGCCCGCCGCCCGCCCTGCTTCCGTCTCCAGCACCACGCCTAGTATTCACCAGCCTTCGCCCACATTACAATACCCAGTGCTCAACGGTTTCCGCATCTCACACAACACCCAGTACGTCACAGCATCCCGCTGCAAGACAAATCCTGAGTTCCATTAAGATCAGGATCCGCCCGCCGTCCGCCCGCCGCCTGCCCGCCGGCCTTCTTTCCGTCTCCAGCACCGCGCCCAGTATTTACCAACGTCTGTCCCAAACGCAACAACACCCACTATTCAGTGACCTTAGTCGTTCACACAACATCCACTACTCAGCAGCATCCCAGTGCAAGAGAGAACCCGTAGGACTCCCGTTACAAACCCGAGTCTCCTGCCGCTTGCCCGCCCTGCTTCCGCCTCCAGCAGCACACCCAGTATTCACCAGCCTCCGCGTCCAACACAACACCCTGTATACTCACGAGCCTCCGTCTGCCATACAACACCCAGTACTCAACAGCATCCCGAGTCTGTAGGAGTCTTATGAAGAAGTCGATCCGCCCGCCGCTCGACCGCCCGCCATCTTGCCGCCTCCAACGCCACGCCCTGTACCCACCAGCCTCCGCCTCCGAGAGAACCCTTGGGAGTTCGTCTTAGTCCCGATCCGCCAGCCGCCCGCCCGCCGCCCGCCCCCCGCCCGGCCTGCTTCCGTCTCCATCGCTTCACCCCTGTATTCGCCAGCTTCCGTTTCCAACACGACACCCCCTATTCAACAGCCTCCGTCTCCGACGCAACACCCGTCATTGAACATCTCGTTGCAAGAGGGGAAATCCGTAGGAGCTCTATTGCCTTCCCGATCCGCCCGCCCGCCGCCCGCCCGGAGCCCGCCGCCCGCCCGCCTTGCTTCCGACTTTAGTGCTGAACCGCATCCCG